CCCCACCCCCCCGAAAAAAAAGGGTCATTGTCCAGGAGATTCCTCATAAATTCTATCGAGCTGCGGACGTCACGTGACTGATCCCCGCGTGCGTTTGTGTGGCCATGCTGGCAGCAGTGGCAGTCGAAGGATTTACAATGGAGAGCAGTGATCAAATTAGCGTTGATCGCTTCACAATCCGGTCACCGCGGCGTTGTTTACCTTTGTCAAGGCGCTTTGTGGGTTACGTGATGTCAACGTCAAAATACGACAGGTTCCGTTTTTATTCATGGTGATTTTTTTACATTTGTTTCGATGGGCGATGAATTGTTGGCGGTGAAAAAGGAAAACAAATCGAAATCAGCATAACTCCAATTACAAGCATTCAAGCCGAAACGCAACTTTTGATGGCCACTTTGCTCTAAAAGTTCTTCAAGCCCATCAAGGCGAGCGTTTATTCGAGCGCTCTTTTGCAGTTAGCGCCTGCTCCCAACATCAGCGGTCCTCGGCCATCTGATGAACAAATGTTTTTGCGTCGTATATTCCGCAACTGCTTTCTTGCAGCACCGCAGGTTTTTTTGTGACACCAGTTCGAATGAAACGTTGCACATCTCCATGGTCGGTGCATTTTGCGAATGCAACATAATTGCTCTCCTGGCCGTTATTTTTGTCTACGCTGATGTATTTCTTGATAAGGGCGCCATTTTGTCAGGAGCTCATTTGGTTATCACAAACAACAATGTCAGCAGTAAATTTCGACACTCAACCTCATGTGGCGAGTTTTTTTTTTTTCCTCTTGAGACTGCCTGAATGTATTGATCATGGCAATCGTTCCACCTGTTAGGTAAAAATGAAGGCCAGAATGGATTTCCAGCCCCGTCGCGTGGCACGAGAAAGTCCAACTCATTTGACACAGGTATTGTTTGTCCCACTCTTGGAGTTACTGCGCCCTGGCTGATCTTGCCTACGTGATTGTGCATGTTGTGTCATGAATGCGGCTTGTGTGTGGCTTTCGTAAATGGATGTATCAAGTGCATGCCAAAATCCTTTTTTATTTTTTATTTTTTTAAACGTCCACGTTTATAAGGCATGTCGGCTGTGTCCTACTCTACTGGTGCCACGTCATTTCCCCTCAGGCATGGAGCGGGGCAGTCACTGTGATCTGGAAAGGTTTTCCGATGCCAGACTGTGTGTGAAAAAACCTTCTTTCCCCCAGAAGAGAAACAGATCTCTGGACTACCCCGCTGGGACCAGGTGTATGTACTATGTGTCATTATCTTCCCCAGAATCCCCTGAGCTGCTCACTAGTCTCACGCGATGATGAAAAAAATGCAAAATACTCGACCTTGCAACTGCAGAATGCAGTGGTTAGCAATCCTTTTGAAACTGAGAACAGCTTCTCGGGTACTGATTTCATGTGAAAGGGTGGCCAGTATGATACACATGACTGAAACCATTTGCAACGCCCCGAAGCCGTTGACAAACATCTTTCAATCTATTGGCCTCCAACTCGGCAGCAAATGATTTTGTTGCCATTACGGCCGTTTGTTGAAATGGTTGACTTTGCCAATTGGTCGTCTGGGAAGACCGCCGTTCCAAAGTGAGAGAAAATTTCAGCCTTCTCGGACAGCGCGATTTGCTTCCGTTTCCCAGCCGTGTTTTCAGACCGTGTTCGCCGCCCCGCCGGAAGTTCGACAACGTACGATTCTTGGAGGCTACACGCGCTTTGGATCATGGGTGAAGAAACACGTTTTTAGAAAGAAGCAAACCCCAAGATGTACTTGGTTGTTGCGTGGACAGGCGAGCTAGAGAGCCAACTACACAATTTGTATACCTGCTATTCAAAAAAAGAAAATAATGCATTTCCATAATATTTTTCCTTTAAATTTTCCAAAGTGGATTTACTTGGAAAAAGACTCGCGAGTCACGTTTGTCTTCTTGTGTAAATGGATGACACACTTAGCACATCCTTGTTTTTGTTTTGTTTTGAATAAAAGCTGTAATGCCGCATTATAGCTGGCAGCCAGATGTCATTTTGACAGGAGAAGTCTTCTCGCAAATGATCCCTGAAACCTTCTTGTGCCACCAAATCCTCCCCCTCACCATCATTTATGCATGAACACCATCTGATTCCTTTACAATGTTATACTGCTGCAGTAAATGCTGGGCATGGCTTGATGATTTGCCATGACTTTTTTTTTTCTTTCAGTCACAGAAGATGAAAAGCCCTCAGCAGTAGAATCGTGGGGCAAAAGTTTCGCAAATGATCTCTGCCAGTAATCTGGAAGTATGAATGCAAAGGCTGCAGGGGACTCAATTAGCATCAGTTGGAGAATGATAAAAGTCGACACGGCGCAAAGGATGGCTTAAAAACTGTTATTAAAGAACCGCGCGAAACATCCTGAAGTGATGCTCTGTCAAGTTGCGTTTCCTGTATGGCAATGTTTGTACTGGAAACGGAATATCACGTGGAAGTTTCTTGTTTGGCCAATTGGGTAATGCAAAAAAAAAAAAAAAAAAAAAAAGACAGAGAGAGAGAGAGCGAAGAACATCAAACTTCTCTTGTAATGGCTTGTCATTGCTTTGCTGTCACGTTTGATGAAGCCTGTTGCAGAAGTTAAGATGTGACAAAAGCAAATCAAGCAAAATTAGGCAAATGTGGGTTCCACGCGGCCCTCAACGGTTGCCATCTGTGGTTGAGCTGTGGTTGATATCAAGCAAATAACAAATGAAATAAAGGAGGGAAACAGATTTGAAACTCTCGGGTCAACCACAATCTGGGGTTTGTGATCCAAATGCGGTCAATCTGATAAAGTTCACCCAAAAAAAAAGGGAAACACAATAGTGTCATTATTCTTTTCTGTGATTTGTAGTCTTCTGTGAGATTTCCAGAGGTGTTTTGGTCAAATGTGCAAGTTTAGGGGCATTTGGAAATTTAATTGTGCCCTATTTACTGTAAGTCTGCCTAGCAACAGTATGACTGTGGAAATGTGACGTAACCGGCGGGGAAACTGGAGCAATTCTGTAACAATATCACCATCAATGTGAAACTTGCTTATGACAAATGACATGCTGCTTTGTGTGGCACGTGATCAGTTTTAGAAGAAAGAAAAAAGTGCATCGGATGTCGAGAGTATGGTGTAGTTTAGCTGGTATGAAGTGCAGTGCATTCGAGGTTATTCTCAAGTCTATCTGTGACTGCAGACAGGCAACGGTGCAGACGCTTATTCGGAGGTAAAATGTAAACCGGTGTTAGAAGGGAACCCCCCACCCCCAAAAAAACAGAAGCAGTATTCGTGAAGGGAGTCCGAACATGTCTAAATTCTCCAGACCTATTCATTTGTTCTGTTTGGGTTCCACAGGACAGCACATAGAAACAACAACATGTGTTTGCGTTTTAGGTTCTGCGAGTCCTCACCATGGTAACAACGATGCTCTATGACATCACACCAGGACCAGCCCGGTTTTGCATGGGAAACCAGACTGGGAAACGGAGGACTGGAGTGAGACGAGCTTTTAAATGGCACTGACCTTTGTTTTAATTAACGTCATGATCTGTTGCCGAGTGTGCATGGACAAAGTAGTTGTGTGGTTTTTAGTTAAGAGCGGATGCGCTTGTTAAGGGGCGTTTTCACTGCACCGTTCATACAGCAGTACAACATAGTTCCACGCGTCTCCCGTATTTGCTAAAACTCTTTGTTTTACGCGCTAATGCTAAATTATTTCAACGTATCCTGTTTTCTTGTCCCCTGCCTGTTCTTCACTGACAATCTGCTTTAAAAAAAAAAAGACCAAGTTGGTACGATATTTATTCAAACGGAGATGTACATATTTAATATCAATTTGCACTAACCTTTGTGGTAAACCTACTGGTGAGCAATCATGATTTTTATTCCATTTTTTTGTGATCATTTATCATTGGTCACACGTGATCAGTATTGAGAATTGTGTTTAATGCGCTAAACAATCCTGTCGCTTAAGGTATGAAAGTCAGATCGCTTATCGTTTTAATCTGATTTTACGAGAAGGAAAAGGTGTATTTTTTTCTAAAAATGTTTCTGTTAAGAATAAATAAAAACTACTTTACACACGTTGAGGTTTCTCATCACTCTCATTGAATGTTCGATATCTAATTATGGCTTGTGTGTGTGTGTGTGTGTGTGTGTGTGTGTGTGTGTGTGTGTGTGTGTGTGTGTGTGTGTGTGTGTGTGTGTGTGTGTGTGTGTGTGTGTAACTCGCAACTGGCGCAAAGATTCACTGTGCCTGCCGCCTGTGAGTACTTTCTCAAACGTTTAAATTTGGAAGCACTGTTCTGGTTTTCGAACAGCAGAGGGCAGCAGAGTCTCAGTGCTTCTCGCGCGAATGCGCTTCTGTAATAAATGCGGAATCTGCATGACCATTGTGGTCTGTTGAGGTGTTTGTCCGCAGCTGAGCTCATTGGAAGATGGTCGCCTTGGGGGCCAGCAGATCTCGAGGAGACTCGCTAATGAGCGAGATGATTGCTTTATCGTGTGCCTGTAGTGTGAGCCGAGGAGGAAACCGGACCGGGACAGAAGGAGCAAAGCCTTCTCGAGTTTCAATAAGCACCTGTTTATTCTCAACAAAATATCAGTTCCCCAGCTTCACCAAAACTGTGCTCGAAGGTTTCAGAAAAAGGTGCCCAAATGACACAGTCATTTCAAGAAGCGCCACTGTGTGACGGGATAAAGGCGAGAGATGCTGCGGGTTTACAATTATCACTTGATCCAATGCTGGATTTTTATTTTTCCACACTTCCACGTGCCCCGTTTCCTCACAGTCCACCATCATCAGTCCATCCCTGAAGAATCCGACCTGACGCGTACAAGACAAGCGCGCGCACACTTGTACAAGCTCTCCTATCTCTGCACCACGTCTGCACTTGTAGAAGTGTGCGTTCGGACATTGCGCGTGCTGATGTGTCTATTTTGTGAGCGCAGCGCTGGCAGATGGCTCTTCAGTAAACCACTTGACTGCTGTGTCAACAGTGGCCGGGTGGTCATGAGTTGAGATGCCACTGAGCGACCTTAACAAGACTTCTGCTTGGAATGTGAAGAAATAATTCGGAATGGAATCTTGGAGCGGTGTAACACCTGTCGAGAAACTCAAAGCTATGGGTAAATAATGGCGAATAAAGAATGAGGTCAATTTAGCCTGCTGGTTCACCGATGCTGAAAGCTGACAGGTGTGAGGTTTCTCGGTCAAGGGCCCAGATGGTGGAAGGGCGCAACGATGAGAGGGAAACGTGACCCACTGGGTCCATCAGGTCAACCTTCAGGGCGTACCTACACGGAGAGTGCTTTGGGCCTTTTCGTGCTGAATGAAAGATAAAATCCCGCATTCTTAAGAATCATTGAAAAGGTGAGAACAGATGCACTTTGAAATAAAAGTTCTTGTTTTTGGTATGAGCAACACTCCCGGGTTATCGGGTTAGCTTATAGGTAACTACAGGAATTTTTGCGTCATTGTCTTTGTAACGGTAGAAAAATGCACACGTTCTAAGATCAGAAATTGTGCTGGCGTGTCTAATTTTACGGCTGTCAAGTATAATTGAGGGAAAGAAATGTCCTCTTTTAACTTTATCGCTGCTCTCATTTCATATAAGCTGCTTCTATAACTTCAAGTGAAGCAATAAGCCAAAAACTGTTCCGGCCTCCCCTTTCCAGGCAGAGCTTATGTATCTTTATTCACCCTTAAAAAGGAAGGAGATGACGCAAGCGAGCAGCAGACACTTGACAAGATCCTTTCGGCTCCATTCCGGGCGCTGCTTGACGCAGATGTATTTTATTTCCTCCTCTCCGATTCATAAAAGCTACCTATTCAGTACCAAACCCCCCGCCTGCCCCTCGCCTTTTTTCTATGTGAGGAGGCGTGCTTGGATTGAGCGATGATAGTGAGGTTGTGGGGCAGAAGCTGAGTCAGAGTGAGATTGAGTGGGTGTGATAGATGAGACATTTTGCAGACAACACACACCCGGGGCTCTATGGCTGCCTGAGGTGCCCAAAGCAGAAAGGAGCCTTATATAATGAAGACATATCCACAACGTTGTCATATGTGTTTAGGAAAAAAAATAAAAAAGGTGGTGATTTGCTGCTGAGAGAGCCTCCAGCCTTCCAAACTCTTTTTCTACGTTTTGGCCTTGGACTGCATGACTTTGGTCCTCATCATGTACGAATGGGTCCGTAAGCCGCGCGCATCTGCATAAAGCATCCATCCGTCCATCCATTTTTCACACTGCACATGAGGTTCATGATCAGAGGCATCCCTTCTCAGCGATGGGTGAAAGGCGTAAATACAGCCCAGATTGACATATGTGACAACCTCCAATTCCTCCTTTTCGGAGACAAATCAGGAGTGAAAAGGTCAGGACACGTTAAAAAAATAGCGGGTGGGGAGGACTTTACATTTACACAGTGTTTTTCAGAGCATGACTCACCATTCTTACATCATGCCCGTTTATTATTACAAAAAAAAAATGGGGGGAGGTAAAACAATTTTCATTTGTATTATTGTACAAATTTGAATTCTTGACATGTCTGCGCCAGGAGAGTCTCCCTCCCTCTGTTCCTTGCTGTCTTCCTCGAGAATGTAAATGTTTTCAGTTTACTGGAAAAATGGCCGGTTCAATTTCGATGAAAATTCAATGGAAATGACAAGTCACATACTGTTTTTTTTTAATTTTTTTTTTTATTGCGTTTACTGCTTCGTTCTGTCTTTTCCCTCTGCAACCACGTTCTGCCCAACTGCGATTTCCAATATGCATCATCATAAAAATGACCACGGAGTGACAATATAAAACTCCTCTGTTAAACAAAAAAATGCATCTACTCTCTCCTGAATGACCAAATGGACACACAGGACTGGTTTATAAAACAAGCAAACACACGAGCAAACAAACAAAATGGCTGCAGGACAAACACAAACGGTGAATAAACAGTCAGCGGGGCTGAAAAAACAAAACAGCACCTAAAAAAAAAAACCTGGTACACAAAATATGCTAGGAAGGCAATAGAGGAAAGCGAAGAACAAACAATGTGCAAAGCCCCGGCATTGTCCAACAACAACAGCGCTTAGATATCAGCTGATTAAAATCAGCAGTGAGTTACGGAAAATTCTGAGTACAGTACCAACAATCGCCGCAGCAGCTGAGGAAACAGACAAGCCAGCAGAATTGGCAGGCGGAAAAACAGGAATATTTTGACATGGTATGTCAACAGTTTATTCTTAGTCGGTAGTAATGGCAAATGACAACCAATAAGTATCGGAAATTATTAGCTTTGATAGTAGATAGATTTCACATCTATTTAAGTGTGACCCATGTCTTCTTGTGAAGAGACATTCATATTTCCTGAGTTTAATGTGTCACTTGAAAAGTTTAAATCAGTTCATATTTGATCATAAATGAGTTTGATATTATTGTCTATTCATAGCACAAACTGTCAGAACTTTACATGGTCGTTTTTTTTATCGAAAACGCCTTACTATACGTGGTCGTTTTTTTCCGGCGAAAAACGCCGAACTATAAATTATCGTTTTTTTTATCGAAAAACGCCTTACTATGCATTGTCGTTTTTTTCGGGTTAAAATGCATGACTATCCATTGTCATTTTTTTCAGCTAAAAACGCTTTACTACACATGGTCGTTTTTTTCAGCCAAAAACGGCAGACTATACATGGGCTTTTTTTTCGGCTAAAAACGCCTTACTATACATGGTCGTTTTTTTCGGCTAAAAACGCCTTACTATCCATGGTCGTTTTTTTCGGCTAAAAACGCCTTACTATCCATGGTCGTTTTTTTCGGCTAAAAACGCCTTACTATCCATGGTCGTTTTTTTCGGCTAAAAACGCCTTACTATCCATGGTCGTTTTTTTCGGCTAAAAACGCCTTACTATCCATGGTCGTTTTTTTCGGCTAAAAACGCCTTACTATCCATGGTCGTTTTTTTCGGCTAAAAACGCCTTACTATCCATGGTCGTTTTTTTCGGCTAAAAACGCCTTACTATCCATGGTCGTTTTTTTCGGCTAAAAACGCCTTACTATCCATGGTCGTTTTTTTCGGCTAAAAACGCCTTACTATCCATGGTCGTTTTTTTCGGCTAAAAACGCCTTACTATCCATGGTCGTTTTTTTCGGCTAAAAACGCCTTACTATCCATGGTCGTTTTTTTCGGCTAAAAACGCCTTACTATCCATGGTCGTTTTTTTCGGCTAAAAACGCCTTACTATCCATGGTCGTTTTTTTCGGCTAAAAACGCCTTACTATCCATGGTCGTTTTTTTCGGCTAAAAACGCCTTACTATCCATGGTCGTTTTTTTCGGCTAAAAACGCCTTACTATCCATGGTCGTTTTTTTCGGCTAAAAACGCCTTACTATCCATGGTCGTTTTTTTCGGCTAAAAACGCCTTACTATCCATGGTCGTTTTTTTCGGCTAAAAACGCCTTACTATCCATGGTCGTTTTTTTCGGCTAAAAACGCCTTACTATCCATGGTCGTTTTTTTCGGCTAAAAACGCCTTACTATCCATGGTCGTTTTTTTCGGCTAAAAACGCCTTACTATCCATGGTCGTTTTTTTCGGCTAAAAACGCCTTACTATCCATGGTCGTTTTTTTCGGCTAAAAA